TGTCATGGTTGATAAAAATAAAAGAAATGAGTGAGGGCACACTATCAGTACAGAACAAAATAAAGTATCCACTATGTTAAGGTCAATAACTCCTGGCTCAGAAATAAACATTAAATACCAGAATTCTGTACATGTCTTATTTTTACTAGTAGATATTTTATGCTTTTGGAGGATAGGAGCCTACTATGATACTTAGTAAACACAGTCATCCATTCAAAAAATATTTACTGACTACCTACTGGTATGCCAGGTAGCACGTTAGATAAAAAGAAGTGAGAGTAAGACAGAGCTTGTCCTCTGGAACCATGAGTCTAGCACAGAGACAGGCACCCCCCAACATACCTGGTGGATAAATTATTATGCCTGGTCATATTGGTGACAACCACACCACACCTAGGAATGCAACTGGATAACCATGTAGGCAGTGTACAGTAGGTATAGTATGGCTGCTAATGCCTGTGCACTCCTGATCCAGGATCTTATCTCCTTGGTTATCTCAGTTTGAATCTTTACCATCGCACCTTGCCTTCCTTTGAATAGTTGTTTACAAAATAATCATACTCAGCTCTACATGCTGGGAATTCTGGACTAGCAGCCCCAAAAGAATGCTTGAGAGCAATCAGTGTTCAAGAATAGCAAGTATAATGAGATAGCAGTCTTTCATTTCTGAATGTATATTTGAGATATATACATATATATATATATTTCAGAACAGATACTAGGAATTTATGAATATATTTATACTTGTTTTTTTAACCAGATAAAAACTATATACATGTTATATGTATATGTTATTATATAGGTTTTTGTCTGGTTAAAAAATAATCCAGGTGTAATAGGTCATAAACCCAGCGCTGTGAGGACAGGGAAAGGCAGGGCAGTGAGCGACAGCAGGACCAGGAAGGCCAAGATTTACAGTGGGCTGAGTGGGAACTGGGGTTGGGTGCTTGGTGGGAGGAACTGCCACCCTCCCTCTCTAGGCAGCAGCTGATAGCCACAGTATTGAGCAAACAACAGGTGGCAGGTAGTCCAGGAGAACAGCAGGCAGCAGGATGTCCGACCTGAGGCAGTTGGACAAAGGAAGCCCAGTAGATAGGTAGAATACAGACAGAGGGACTCTACAATCTAGAAACTAAGATCTGGAGGCAAGTGTTGCCATCAGGAATATCTACTTGTGCACAGAAGAGTCTGGGCTGTAGGGCTGGGGCTGAGTCCAGACAATAAGCAAAAAAATTCGAGTTCCAGGCAGGTTCACAGGCCAGAGTTTCAAATATAAGGGCTGTGAGTCAGTTCCTACAAAGGGGCCAGGGTCAGGGCTCTCCACATAAGCAGCAAAGGCAGGAGGCTGAGTTGGGCTCAGGACTGAAGCTTTGAAAATTCTTCCTTCCTCAGAGGCGAGGGAAGATTGGGTACTATGGGAAAAGGTATACAAATGGCAAGGGAAGGAGGAATGCAGAGGCCATGGACTAGGTAGGACCAAGTGATGGCTACTTTGCTACAATAGCCTCAGTCAACTGTCTTTCAACCATAGTAAAAAAAGTGCTTTGAAGCAAAGAGAAATTAAAATGGAGTAAGGGCTAGGCACTGGTGGTTCACACCTGTAATTCTAGCACTTTGGGAGGTTGAGGCAGGAAGGTCACTTGAGGCTAGGAGTTGGAGACAAGCCTTAACAACAGCAAGACCCTGTTTCTACAAAGAAACAAAAAAATAGGCTGGGTATGGTGGTGGATACCTGTAGGCCCAGCTAATCGGGAGGCTGAGGCAGGAGGATCTCTTGAGCCCAGGTGTTTGAGGTTGCAGTGAGCTATGATGATGCCACTGCACTCTAGCCCAGGCAAAAGAGAGAGACCCTGTCTCAAAGAAAAAAAAAAAAAAGAGTAAGGCGTAAGTTGTTTAGTAAATGTAGAAGGGGAAGTAAAATATTGTACCACTGCAAAGAAAAGAACAAAGTCGTGCTTTTAAACTTTATTTTGTACACTGAATTATATACATCCATCTTTTTCCTAAACACAATTTCTGTTTTGGCTTGGTCCTTCTAAACCATGATGGAGTGGTACTATTAACCAATAAAATGATATAGTAGTGTCTATGCTGAAAAATGAAGCTGTTTCCTTTACTCTGCATAACACCTGTCTATTTAATATTGAAACCAACGTAAAGTGTCCCCCTACAAATGGCAGCCCTTCTCTAGTCCCTCTTCACTGGGCTCTAACTCATCTCCAGACTCAGACAGACTCAGCGCTGCCTTTTGCCTCATAAAATCTTTACAACAGGAAAATGACTTTGGATGGATTAACTTGGATTAATCTATTCAACTAGGATCCCTGAAGGCAGAAGTCCCCATTTCAATGAAGACGATGTAATCAGTGGCTTCCTCTGCCAAGCCTCATACTTTCCCATGTAGCCAGCCATGCCACGCTCTAACACTGGAAGGGTCTTGGTGATAAAGTTCAGAAATGCTTAGAGGAATTCTATGCTTATCTATCTCACTTATTTAACAAATACTGAGCACTTACCACATGCCAGGCACTAGGCTCTGAGGAAAGAGTTGAGAACAGATTGACAGTCTTTGCTGTCATGGAGTTTACATTCTGGTGGGGTAGAGGGACTCAGATCATAAACAAATCACTAAATGAACAAGATAATTTAAGATAGTAAAAAGTGGTATAAAGAATATGAGGTTGGCTGTGATGGGATGTTCATTTAAGATAGGTATTCAGGGAAGGTGTCCTTGTAGAGCTGAGAACTATGTAGGAAGAGTCATTTCCATTCCAAACTAATACTGATTTAGGCATGTTAACAACTAACATTCTTGGGACCTATACTTCAAATTAACAGTGCAGAGGAAAAGGCTCATTTCCAGCCTATTCTATTAACCTGCTAAAAAAAAATACATTAGATAATGTTAAATTTGGATCTTGAAGTGTTGCCTTTGAGTTTAGGGGCCAGACCATACGTGTCCAGATGTCTCCTTGAGCTTCCTGGCTGCTCTGTTCATGCAGTGGGCAAGGCGAACCGGAGAAACAGGCTTGCATGCACAAACATGCCAGCAACCAGAGAGAACACCATGCCCCGCTAGTTGTCAGTAGGTAGGTTGCAAAGGGTTTAAGCCTGGGCACTAGGTGAGCCTTATCTAAGGATAGCAAAAGGATACCTAGTACAATTCCCAAGATTTGAAAAGGAAATCCTTCTCTAGGGAAGCAAAGATACCACAACTTAAAATTTGATGAGATTTTGCTCTCATTTCTATAGTGGCACATTACAAGGCAGGAAACACTGATTTGTACATTTCAAAACTTGTACTAAAGTTCCAACCTAAGATCCTTGGCTATTTTATAGACGATTCACATGTCTAAAAATCAAACTAGGCCTTAGAGGGCACAATAATACACTTGCTGTGGTTTTCTCTGCCATGACACATTGCTCAGCATACATCAAGGAGCTCTTTGCCCAATCATTCTGAATCTCCTTGAGCAAAAGGTACACCCTTTCCTTTAAAATTAAAGCAGAATAGTATGTAGGAAACCTGAGAAAGAAAAGTGGCCAATTTTCGTTGATGCAAAGCATCTCAAGTATCATATTCTTCCTGCATAGCATGGTATCACAACCCATGACTCTCAAACTTGAGACTGCTAAAGAAAGAGCTCAGAAAAAAGATTAAAGAAGAAAATAGAAATGAAAAATAATTCGGAATTATGGAGGGCATCTGAAGCAGTAAGGGCAAAAGTGTATAAGAAGGACAGAATAAGAGATGAACAAAAAAATCTAAATAAAAATATATGGGAATTTAAACATTTCCATTGGACTATGGAATATTCTGGAATCTAAACATCTCTTCAGGCAAGAATCTGTGAAAATCCAGTTATCAGTGCCTGGCACATTCTTTTCCTTCTCTTTTCACGCAATTTTAAAAGTGATTTTTTTTCAGTCAGCATTTTTTCAGGAAAAAAAAATAAAAATAAAAGTGATTTTTTTAATAAAGGGATTTAAAAATCTTATCTTTTGCAGTGACTTAATTGAACCCAATACTTTTGTTGAACTACTTACCAAAGAGGTTACGGTCACATTTGGTTAAATGGAGCCTATCGCCTTTCTTCACCTACAGGTCACCGAATACTTTTAACAGCGTTCACTGCAAATGAGGAGAAATGTAAAAGAGGCAGTGACAATTATTTGCGTTTTCCGAAAGGAGGGACTGAGCCTCCGGAGGGTACACGAGGTCACCAGAGTGAGCCAAAGGTAGAGAAGTGAGGAATATTTATAGTCCGCTGACTTCAGAACTGCCGGGCTCGGGCCGCGGCTTATCTTACGCCTCTGGAATTCGCGGGCTCGCAGATCACAGGGGCCCGGGCGGCGGGGCCGGCGCCCGGATCGACGCTCGCGCGCTCCCGCGCCGCCCTGCTCCGGCGTCGCCGTGTGGGCGCGGTGGCAGGGAGCCGGGAGGAGAGGCCGGGGCCGGGAGGGAGGGTGAATAAGGAATGCACTGTGACCACATTTTTCTTTTCTTTGTGGCGCCGACCACCACCACGACTGGGCAATCTCCCACCTAGGTGGCCAGGTGCCTTCTGGGCGGTCCCGCTGACTTTACAATTCAGCTGCCCGCCGCTCCCGCGCGGCGCGCCGGTCGGAGAAGGGGTCCGCGCGAACTGGGGGCCCAGGCGGCGGCGGCCGTGTCCGCGCTGCCCTCGGCCGCCTCAGTCGTGGGCGCTCGCGGCCCCGCCGCAGCGGCGGTGGCGCTGGCGGGAGGGGAGGGACCGGCAGCCCCGCGCGAGAAGCACCGCCGCCCCAACAGCAGCCCGGCGCCCCCTTGCCGGCGGCGGGTCGTCCTCCCCGGCAGCGGGGCGCCGGGCTCCAAGGACCCTTCGGGCGCTTTCGCCGCGCGCTCGGCTGCGTTCGTGTCGCGGGCGGGCGGGGCCGGCGCCCGGGTCGGGTGCGCGCGCCGCGCCGCGCCGAGGCCCGCCCCTCCCCCAGGCCCCGCGCCGCCCCTCCCCCCTTGCGAGTGTCGGCGGCGGCGGCTGCCGAGATTGGAATCCGCCTGCCGGGCTCGGAGAAGTAGGAGGGAGGAGGAGGAGGAGGAAAAAGGAGGGAGGAGAGAGGAGGGCGGGCAGGAAGGCTTGGGCTCCGGCGCGTCCGTCCGCGCGAGACGAGGATCGCCCGGCCGCGCGAGGGGCGACCGGGCCTGGGCCGCGCACGCCGAGGGCCGAGGCCGAGCCGGGCCCCCGCCGCGCCCCGGCGGCTCGCCGCGCCCCGCTCCGCGCCGAGGGCTGGACGATGAGTTCCCCGGGGTCCGGGTGAGTTGGCGGCCGGGAAGTGCGTGCGCCGGCCGGGGAGGCCGGCGCGGGCGAAGTTTCGGAGGCAGCCGGGCGCCGAGGCCCGAGCGAGGGGCGGCCGGCCCGGCCACCCCGCCTCGACTGGCCAGGCCGCGGCCCCGCTGGAGAGCCGCCGCCCCCCGCCGCGCCCCGCCGCCCGGCCCCTCTTTTGTTCCCCACCCGGACTGCAGGCCCAGCCCGGCTTGCGGTGGGGCGAAAGCCGCGCCGGGCCGCCTCTGGAGCCTGCATGGGAAAGGCGCTCACCTCCCGCCCGGCGACTGGCCTCCGTGCGCCGCGGCGTGAGGGGAAGAGAGCGGGGGCGGTTTGGCGGGGCGCGCCGGAGGGCCGCCCGCCGCCCCACGCCGGCCCGCGGGCAGGGGCCGCGTTTCTGCGGGTCTGCTGTCGTTTCACCTGTTTTCCGGCGCGGCCTCCGCTGCCATGTCTGTTGTGATTCTGCACTTGAGCCTCGGAAACTTTCCGTCGGATCGCACGGACTCTTTTCTCTCTCTTTCCAGACTCCTAGTGGAAAGATTTGGCAAGAAAAAAAAATGAGCTTGCGTCGGGGAAGAAAAATAATATGCTGTGTGTTAGGGTCTGGCGTTTTGTGACTTGTACTCTTTCATGCTCTCAGATGTTTTAATTTGATCAAAGTGCTGCAGGCTTTCTCTTTTAAAAGGTTAACAAGCTGTTCTGAGTATATAGTGTGAACTTGGCACCAGTGTTACGTCATTAATCCTTATAACAACCCTGGCTTATTGTATTCCTCATTTTTTCTTTTTTTAAGAGAAGGAAACCGAGTTGCAAAGAGGTTGAATAGCTTGTCTAAGTGAGTTGGGAGTTGAACCCAGGAATATCGTATTCAGGCTTACGAGTTTTTTGTTTTATTTTAAAACACACTTTTTCTGCGCACACTTTTTCGTTTAGGAACATTTTTAGTTACTCATACTTGAAATGACCGCTATTTTGTTGCTTGAGTTGAAAACAACTCCTTTATTGTATTTACTTGTAAGAGGAGTCAAACTTTGAATTAAAGTAGAATGTAACTAATGCTTCTCATTGTTTTCGATTGTTAAAATAAGGACTGTAGACCAGAATTATTTAGATATTTAAATTTAAAGCTAAAATATGGGCAGTTCTCTGATCTGGGAATCGGTTGAGTTTATGAAAGGTCTATTGAAATTAAGAATGCATTTTTAATAGAACCAGTACTCTTCCTGTTTTATTTTTTCTCTCTTCACCTTCTCCTTGCAGCCCATTTCAAACCTTTTCTGCTTTCTTCTCTTCTGCCCTCTACAGAAAAGATTGAGGAAGCAGGTGGGAGCTCTTTCCGTAGATTCCTTCTGGTCATCTGCTTTCCTTCCAGCTCAGAGGAAGAATATTATTTTGTCCTTCTTAGTAGGTAACACCTCGTTTCATTTTTCTCTAAGTTTCCTACTTAACAGAGCATGAGTTATCCTCTCTGTCCTCTTTGGGATCTTAAAAGTTCAAATGTACTTAAGATTCCTTCCATTTACAAAAACCTTTCTGTAAGTCTGCTACTCTTCAAGCTGTCTTGTTGCTGCTTTTCCTTTTCAAATTATATTAACATTTTAGAACGTTTTTTCATTACAAAAGTAATACATGGTCATTACAGAAAAATCGCAAAATAGAGCAAAATTGAAATAAATGTAAAATTCATTTATAATGAATTCATAATCCCATTTCTAGAGTTTACCAAGAGTTACTCTACTTTTCCTGTCTTTTCTTGGTGACTATCCATTCTTAACCCCTTGTTATGTGGATTTCCCCTTCACAAATTCAAGCACCTTTTTAAAGTCCTCTCTTTGAACTTTCTGTAACATTTAACATTCTTTTGGCTTCATTCAGCAAATACTTATGTATTCTAACGCTCAGGATACAGTAACAGATACAGTCTTTACCCTTGTGGAGTTTAAAGTCCAGTGGGGGAGACATATTGAAGAATGAATTTTATAATTAAATATAATTGTGATTTTAATTAAAGTGCAGAGTATTATATGAGCTTAAAATGGTGACTTGACCTGGTGCTGCTGGTGATGAGAGCATCTAAGAAGGATTCCTTAAAAATACTACCTTGCAACCCAGGACAGTTGTGAAGGATGACAACAATTAACTAGATGAAAAAGGGGGCTTATGTGACATACTGAGTTTGTTCTTCTTTGCCCCTTTTGTGCCTTCTCTTCTTCCTCTTTCCTCTAATATAGGTGTTCTCCAAGTTTCACTTTTCAGATAAGTTTTCTATAATGTCTTTAGTCCCTTGACATTATTGTTCAGACTTTTATATCTGAATAATTCCCAATTCTTTATTCTTTCTTTTCTGCACTTGAATCCTGTTTTTTCAGTTGCTTTATGCATTATCTGTACCTGCTTGTTCTGGTTCAGACTGAGCACTTTTTCTTTCCCAGACTTGTTTTTCTGGTGTTCCCTGTCTTTGTTGATGACATACTGAACACAAACTTTTTCTCTTTTTATCATTTCTTGTGGTAGCCAACATCTGTGATTCTGGTTTCATGATATTATAACTCTTCTGTTCTCTATTCCTGTTAACTCTGCTATGATTCCTAATTCATGTTGGCATCAGGGTAGCAATAGAATCATAAAATGAGCTGGGCACCTCTCCTTTTTCTCTTTTCAGAAGCAGTTTAGACTGGGTTTATCTGTTCTTTGAAAATTTGGCAGATTTCACCTGTAAGACCATTCAGGCCTGGATCTTTTTTTGTGGAGGGGACTTTGAATACCATTTCAGTTTGTTTAATAGCTGTTGGTTTGTATAGGCTTTCTACTTCCTGTGTGAATTTTATTTTATTTTATTTTTTTTAAGACGGAGTCTCACTCTGTTGCCCGGGCTGGAGTGCTGTGGCGTCAGCGTAGCTCACAGCAACCTCAAACTCCTGGGCTCAAGTGATCCTTCTGCCGTAGCGTCCCAGGTAGTTGGGACTACAGGCATGCGCCACCATACCTGGCTAATTTTTTCTATATATTTTTAGTTGACCAATTAATTTCTTTCTATTTTTAGTGGAGACCGGGGTCTGGCTCTGCTTAGGCTGGTTTCCAACTTCTAACCTTGAGTGATTCTCCCACGTTGGCCTCCCAGAGTGCTAGGATTACAGGCTTGAGCCACTTCACCAACCCACTTACATGGGTTGGCCATTTCACAAAATGGCACAGACCATGTAATAGGGAAATTGTGGGAGAATTGCGATGCCCAATTCACACCTAACCTGTGTGAATTTTAGTGTTGCATATTTTTTCCAGAAATTTAATTTTGAATTTTCAAATCTAGTGTTATTTGTCTTTCATATCGTTTTCTCCCCCCATCCTCCGTGTGTGTGTGTGTGTGTGTGTGTGTGTGTGTACTTAAAAAAAATTTTTTTTTTTGCTAACTGTAAATCAGGTTCTCCTCTCACCTGGACTAATATTAAGACCTTCTTACCCTCACTTTTTCCTTTATCCAGTTTATCTTATGCATTTCTGCCTAAATTAATCTTGAAGCCAGTTCTTACCACTTCTCTGCACAGAGGTTTTCAGTGTCTTCCGTTAAATGAAGTTCTTTCTATGATAATTTGCCTCAGATTTGCCTTATTCTTACCTACTGCTGTTTTTGCTCCTTGCCCATATTCTTTTTTCCCCCTTCTGGATGTTGTTTATACTGTTTTCTCTACTTGGACTGCATACATGGTCAAATTGTCATATGCCCAAGGCCTACCCATTTTTTAAGCCTCATTTCAAATTCTACTTTTTTTCTCAAGTCTTACCTATTTTCTTCCTCTGGATAGTATCTCTTCTCAAGTCCTACATTGTTCTTTTAAGGCATACAATTTCTTATCTAGTATTATTTGTCTTTTTAAAAAATCACCTTTATTGAAGTATAACTGATACACAATGTTATGTGCAAATTAAGTGTGCAGTTTCATGAGTCATTTGGTCTTTTAAAGCAGCTTTTTTTTTTTTTTACACAAATATTATCTCCACTACTAGATTGCAGGCTGTCTGTAACTGACTTTGTTGTATATTAAAATAAATAAATTGGGAGAGCCTCCCATGTGGCCTAGCAGCGGCTAGAGAACTGTACTGATCTGTTTTGGATCTTAGGAGCAGGGAACCATGGAAAGGAAAGAAAATGGATTTCCTCTCATGCTAAATTTTGAAGTATGAACTCTTTTCTTTCCTTTTACCTTCTCCTACCAGTTGCTAGTTTTTATGCTTTTAGAGTGTCTTTAATACCACAGGGTCTATATTGACCAGTTGGACCAAATCATTAAGACTTAGAAGATTAAATGTTGAATTGCATTGAATTATGTCAAGTTGTAAGATGCACCATAATTTTATAGACCACTAAAGAAAATATGCGTTTAGCTGCAAGAAACTATTGATTGTAGGGTGCACCCCACTTTCAGAGATATTAAAATATGAAAAATATATGTGTCTTAGAATTGATGAATAGGGTTTCTCTTCCTAACCAAAACACTTCATTAGTGTGGATGTTGAAAAGAAAAAATTTAAACTCCTCGGAGTGGCTCTATTGTTACTCTGAAAAGTTATTTTTAAAGGAAGATGCTTGTTGAACCTCTTTTCGAACTCCTGAACATCTTTTTAAGTGAAAAGTTTCAGGCAGGGTAGAAAAATATTTATTTTTGAATGGGGTCTCCCACAGCTAGGTAGGCCAGTCTGGTTGGGAAGTACTTTGACCCCCAACTTTTTGTATTTTTCCCTCTTAATTTCCTTTGCTTATTTTCTGAACTCACAACTTTTCTAAGAGCTGGTAATTTTCACAAAATGGCACAGACCATGTAATAGGGAAATTGTGGGAGAATTGCGATGCCCAATTAAATGGATCATTTTAAAGATAAGATCCAGTGTTTATATAGCATTAATAATTATGGTATACGTAGTTTTTAAAAAGTAGATCCAAAAATGTGTTTGGATATTTGAATAAATCATAATGTGCATGAGTTTTTACAGCC